CAAGGGCGGATCCAGGGGGGCCAAAGGGGGCCATGCCCCCCCCCCAAAACGAAACCATTTTTTTTTTTTTTATGTGACATCGCAATAAAGGCAGGCAATGAGTACACCACCATCTTTTCCTCAAAAAAACATTTGTTAAAGTGGTCAGAAATTGCCTCAGATCGCACCACAGAGCATCTAGAATCCAAAATTTTTTCGGGGCCCTTAAGCGGGCCCCGAACCCCACGCCGTAATTTTTTTGACCCACTTTTTGGGGGACCAAAAAATTTTTTGGCCCCCCCTAAAATTGTGTTCTGGATCCGCCCTTGGGCCCTCGATCAATTCTATTTTCTTCAATATTGCCTTTAAATGCCTACTGTGTTCTTACAGTTTATGAGAAGCTCCTCTTATATCCCAATAGCTCCAAAACGCACAAAAATATCCATAAACTCAAGCTAAAAAGATGTCAAAAGGTGTCAAAAAGGTTGAACAAACTTTAGTCCTCCGCACTCCTATCACTCGCCATCCCATAATAATAACAACAAACTTTTATGTCAACAGAGGGCGCTATAACTGTTTCAAGCGGTGGATTTGGCACTAACATTCCGTCCCCTTAATTGTACAAGCTCCTGTGGTACAATGACCTCTCTTTCAAACAAAACTTAATTATTAAACAACAATATACTGGTATGTTTGTTTTGCTAACAACAATAAACAACATGGCTAACATGCGTAACTTCTGGGCTTAACTTTTAAGCTCTTAAACAACATTTCCTCTTAAGATTCAGAACTTACTTTTAAACTCTTAAACAACATTTCCTCTTAAGATTCAGAACTTACTTACAATATCCTGGTGATAACCTTTCATCTAGACCAATGGCAAATCTGCATGAAACATACATTGTCCATCTTACTCTTCTGACATAAGTCGAAGTCGAATTTGTCTGGCTTTTTTTACAAATCCAAACTCAATACAAAATGTACATGTAGTTACATTAGGCAAAAAAAAGTCTCCGGTTTCTGGTATGGAGCTTGCCCAAAAAGTGGTGCGGCGACGCGGCTTTTTTTTTTATACTGTTTTTTTTTGCTTCATATGTCGTTTGATGACTGCAAATGGTGCCCGACTAAACTTAGTGCAAATATTATGGGAGGCCACATAAAGCTTATTCTCGACCATAGCCAATCTAAAAACACGTTAAAATTGTGCGGAAGCAGGATTCCAGTCAATCCAATGAGTTTGGCGGTTTTGAGTAATCATCTTTCATTGAAAAAAAAACTTTTTCATTTTGCCGACGCGCATGGCTACGGCGACGCGCGCGCATACCAGAAACCGGAGACTTTTTTGTTTGGCCTTATACACTGTACTGTTAACCACTGAACATATTCTGAGAGAATAGTTAATTTTGACATCATCTGCATTTCACAGGCTAACAAAGATACAAAAAAAGTGACAACTGATTATTACAAAAGGAGTCCTAAAATTCTCTGCATTTCTATTAAACTACAGGGAACTGAAATTGAATACACTTAATCCAATAAACCAAATTTTGATACTCAACCTACTTAATTGCAACTTGCAATATAGGCTACAACTATGAGTCTGAAACATTCACTTCCACAATCCAAAAAAAAGAACTAACCTAAATTGCATGTATATGCATTTGCATAACCTCCATTTGTATTAGACACTGTATAACTTAACACTGTAAGAATATCACACTAGTAAATATTCTAGTCAATTATCCAACCGCTAGAGTACTACAATGAGTCCAAAACAAAAAGACATACTGGAATCTGCCTCTTGCATTTTTAAATAACACTGATAACGAATCATGCAAATTAATCCTATTTACATTGTTTTCATGAAATACACAATGCCTTCAATTATCATCATGTCGTAAGACCTAAAGGAAAATTGCTCATGATCGAGAATTACATATACTGGACAAATCCATGCGTATTCTGTGTAGTAAGCACCATTAATACCGAATCTTTAGTTTACACTTGTTCAAACTGAAATCCCATGAAGAATCGGCTTATTTGTGTACATTGTATACTAGCAAACAATTCCACTGTACAATTAATCCTGTTAGAAGTACATGTAGATTCAAATACTTTAACAGTCCACATCTCATACTCAACTTGTACATTTTATGGCAATGTTGCAAGAAATAAATACACTTGACATCTGGCAAAACTGAGCTTCAGAATTATTAGACTGGTCACCTGAGCAATCTTTAGCTTTAACCTCACACATACTGCCAACTGTTTTGAGTCAAATTGTATAACCAATGTATTGAATCTAAATATGAAAACTCATTAAGGCCCCAAAAAACAGTTCCGGAATTGATGCGGCGACGCGGTTTTATTTTTTTTTTTTTGTGGCTTTTTTGTTTTCAAGCTTGAATTGTACAGACAAGGTGGGTACTATTTTGCTTTTGTGTGTCCTCATTATACATTGGTGTCCTCCATAATTTACCTTGGTGCCCTTTATCATTTGCCTTGGTGCAATTTGACGCGCATGGTTAAAATCGACGCGCGCGCTGACCAGAGACCGATTACTTTTTTCGGCCTAACATTCAGTTTCTAACTTACATATTTCAAATCAATCAATACAAGAGCCTTGTTCTCAATTAATGGCTTGTGAACATACAAACATTTTTACATGTGTAAAAGCTGAGCACAAAAAGTATACTTAACACAATGATTCATCTTTATATTACAAATAAGCTGAAAGTGTCACTGACTCAAGAGTTTTTTGAAGTTCCACTCCAAGTATTGCTCAAGGGTCTGCTTCCAAAAGCAAGCACAACTTGGTGATCGGCCTCCTGTAGACATTCATTCTGGTCTTCACCTCCACGCTTCGAACGAATCCATCCTTGTCTGGCATAGTGCGTACCACTCTCCCAAGCGGCCAGAGATGCCTTGGCACAGATGTATCCACCACCAACACTAGATCTCCAGCACCGACGTTAGGCTGGGGATGCACCCACTTCTGTCTCTCCTGTAGCTGAGGTAAGTACTCCTTTACCCATCTGCGCCAAAACACATCAGATAGGTAGTGGACTTGTCGCCATCTGCGCCGAGCGTAGACGTCGGACTCTTGGGTGACTACTGGGGGTAGTTGGGGGGAATAGGGGGTAGACTTCAGCATAAGCAAATGATGTGGGGTCAATGCTTCCAGGTCATTCACGTAATCAGATACCCTGGTCAAGGGTCTGCTGTTGATGATACTCTCTACCTCGCACAGTAGAGTGTGCAAGCTCTAATCAGTCAATGTCTGCTGCTTCATCAGGGAGAAAAGCAGTTTTCTCACAGTTCTTATCTGCCTTTCTTATACACCACCGTGATGGGACCGTCCAGGTGGATTGAAGGTCCACTGAATGTTCCTCTGCAGCAATGCGTTGTTCAGTTGAGCCTGGTTCCACTTGTTGATTTCTGTTCTAAGTTCTATTTCAGCACCCACAAGATTGGTGCCATTGTCCGATCTCATCTCTGTCACATTTCCCCGGCGAGCAATGAATCGCCGCATAGCGTCAACGCATGAGTCCGTGTCTAGGGAGTCAGCCTTCTCGATGTGCACAGCTCGTGAAGCTAGACAGGTGAAAATCACACCATACCGCTTTAAATAGCACACTGCGACCTCTTTTCAGCTCTAGTGGCCCAAAGTAGTCCATTCCTACTCTGGTGAAGGGGGGGGCTCATCAGTTTTGATCCTGTCTGCTGGGTCAGCCATCTTCTGCTCCATGACTTTGCCTCTGTACCGTCTGTACATCACACATTTGCCAATTTTTTTTCTGATTGCGGAGTTGGCACCAGATATCCAATATTTCTGTTGAAGACTTGCAAGAACATGATTCCTTCCACTATGTCCGGATGTCTCATAAATGCGTGTTTTGATCAAGGTTGACACGTGGGAAGGATGATGGGGTGTTTAGCATCAACTGGCAGTGAGGCCCTGCTCAATCTTCCTCCAACTCTAAACAGCTCACCATTTATGACTCGGTCAACTCTGTGGATGGAACTGGTTTTCTTCACTCCTTTGATCTTTTGTCTGCTCCCTCCATCATCTTCTGTACTCGGGGCAAGGGCTTTAATCTCATCTGCATATGCTTGGCTTTGAACATCCTGCAACATTTTTTTCTCTGCTGCTTGTAGTTCTTCCAGAGTTAGTACACCCTGCAGAGTTTGTTCAGCTTTCTGGGACTCGGGCTGGCCTTTCAACCATCTTCTGAATCTTAGCAACCAGCAAACTGCCTTCTTCAGTCGGACCCAGTCTGAGTAGTACTCGACTTTTCGATCGATGCCCTGTTTCTCCATCTCACTTGGCTTGATGGTGCAGGCAAGAACATTCTTCTTAACCTCCGAGTCTTCTGCCACTTCAACTGCACCGAGCTCTGGTGTTGTGGGCCACTCATCTTCTGGCTGAAGTAAGAACCCTGGGCCATTCTTCCAGTCATCCATCTGAAGGAATTGCTCAACTCTCCTTCCCCTTGAACACACATCAGCAGGATTGAGTGCTGATTCGATGTGACGCCACTGCGTTGGACTTGAGCCGTCAAGGATAATTGCCAACCTTTTGGCGACGAATGTCTTAAATCTGCTTGTTCTACTGTTGATATATCGTAGCACAGACATGCTATCGGTCCAGAAGAAGGTGTCATCTACTTCGATCTCCAGATCCTTCCTGATCATATGGTCAACTCTCACTGCTACTGTCGATGCTGTAAGCTCCATTCTTGGAATTGTCACCTGCTTGAGTGGGGCGACCCGTGATTTACTCATCAGGAATGAACACTTGACTTCGCCTCCATCATTCACCAATCTCAGGAAAGATATGGTGCCATAGCACAGCTCACTGGCATCAGCAAAGTGGTGCAAGGTGACTGACTTTGGTTCTTCAAGTCCATCTGGCTTCAGGCATCTTGCCATCTTGAACTCTGCCAGTCTTGGGTGTTCCAACTGCCAATTCTGCCATTTCTTACTCAGATCTGGTGGAATTTCTTCATCCCATCCTAACTTCATCCGACATGCGGCTTGCAGTAATTGCTTGGCTGGAAGCACAACTGCTGAGACACATCCCAAGGGGTCGAAGACAGAGCTGACGTAGATAAAATACCTCCTCTTGTCGGTGGTCTATCTCTCATTTCAATTTTGTATCCAAACTCATCATCTTCAATGGACCACATTATGCCAAGCGCTCTCTCAACGGCCAACTTCTCACCATCGATGTTCAAGTCTTTCCAGTTTCTGCCTCTTTCATCTTTAGGGATGATCTCTAGGACTTCCTTCTTGTTGCTCACCAACTTTGTGAGGTGGAATCCTCCCTTGCTGCATGTTTTAGTCAAACCTTTGACAAGCTGGACTGCCTTTGACACTAGCGGGGTTGAGCACAAACAATCATCGACATAGAAATTGCGATGGATGATGTGCGCAATTTCTTCACTTTCTGCATGATCATCTGCTGTCTTCTTCAAAGCGTAGTTCGCACATGAAGGAGAAGAGACCGCACCAAAGACATGTACTTTCATGCGGTACTCTGTCAAGGGTTTCTTGATGTCACCATTGTCCCACCATAACAATCTCAGCAGATCTCTGTCGTCTCTGGGCACTAAGACTTGGGAAAACATGCCTTCAATGTCAGACATGAGGGCAACCTGATCCTGCCTGAACCTAGTCAACACACCAATTAGGCTGTTTGTCAGATCCGGCCCCTGTAACAACTGTGTATTAAAGGGAGACACCTCTGTAGTCGGCTGTGCAGTCATACACCACCCTTATCTTGTTTTTCTGTGGATGCATGACACCATGATGAGGAAGATACCATAATCTGCCGTCATCCCTTCTTGCCTCTCCATTCGGAACTTTCTCCATGTAACCCCTGCTAAGCATGGACTCCATGTAGCCTGTTTATTCCTTCTGGAATTCTGTTTGTCTCTGGAACTTTCTTTGCAGATGGGCCGTTCTCTGTTCTGCTTGTGGTCTGTTGTTCGGCATTCTAACTTCTGTCTGCTTCAGTGGGAGTGCAATCTCGTAATGGTCGCCAACCATTCTGATGGACTTCTCCACCTTCTGGGTAAAGAGTAAATCCTGTCTGGACTTCTCTGGCTTGTCTTCTATGATCCTCTCATTGAAGTCATGATTAAAAGCTTCTCCAGCTGATCATCAATGTCTGCTTTGGCTTTCACTGTTACTTTATGGGAGATGATTTTCTGTTGACCTTGATTTCTCTTTGACCCATAAACCTGCCAACCAAGGACTGATCGGCAAGCAAAGGGGCCACCGTCATTGCTGTTTATGACTTCAAGTGGTTCCATCGCCTTGGGGACATTGTTTCCAATCAACAGCCCCACATCTGCATCAATGATTGATCCCCTGCTCCATGCTGAGATCCTTGGCTAAGTTGTACAGCTCTGTGATGAACACTGAATAGCGATGGAGCTCATCTTTATCCTCTGGCTTGATGTCCGGCCAGCCAACTGCCTTTGCCACCATGTTGTCAATGATGCGATGCTTGTCGCCGAATTTTTTCTTCAGCAGAAGTTTCGCTTTGGCGAGAGCGTCTGCCGATTCTTCACCATACATGCAGCTTTTTACAATGGCAATCGCTTCGCCCCTGGTGTACTGCTCCAAAAAGTACAGTTTGTCCTTGTCATTGTTGTTCTTGGATTCAATGGTGTGCTCGAAGGCCCTCACAAATGCATGGTAATCAAGCGGGTTTCCACTGAATGGCTGTATCTGTCTTTGTGGGAGGGATGATCTCATGTGACACTAAACCAACATCTTCATCAGCTGGTTTTGCTGTTTCATTGATTCCCCCTGTTGCTGAAGAAAGGATGTTAAGGCACCGGTGTCGGTAACCATGGGTCAACCGTGGACAACATGACTTGATCTTAACCAGTTCATCCATTCTGGCAATTTATGCAGGGTATATAGGCCTACTCTGTACTCAGTTCTATTCTAAGTTCTGTGTATACTTGTAACTCAGTCTATGGAACAGTATTCCTCCCGTAAACTGGACAGTTTAGTTTTTTCAACTAATGTGCGTGCCTATTGATGGGCCCTTCTAAAGTTCACTTTAAAGCCCCCAAGTTTTCACGTTTATTTGGCGGACAGGACCAGGCCTATTAAAGTTTCCAACGCTTCAATCTTTATCCAAAGAATAAACACAAGTTCACACACTGTTCAATTCAAGGCCCTCGATCAGTTCTATTTTCTTCAATATTGCCTTTAAATGCCTACTGTGTTATTCTTACAGTTCATGAGAAGCTTCTCTTATATCCCAATAGCTCCAAAACGCACAAAAATATCCATAACCTCAAGCCAAAAAGATGCCAAAAGGTGTCAAAAAGGTTGAAAAAACTTAGGCCTTCGCTCTCCTATTATTTGTTTTAACGACAACACACTTTTACGTCAACAGAGGGCTCTATAACTGTTTCAACGATATATCCAAATCTATATATATAAGAGAGAAGTTTACTCGCCCCCGAGACGATGTTTGCTCCTGAAAGGATCCGAGACCGCGGGCTCCCGCGGCCCCAAAATCGCTCCACGTCCGTGGAAAAATGCGGAGGGTGTCTTCCGCCGGGTCGGACGCTTCGGGTTGTCCTAATTTTCCCGTTCGGACCGGCGATCCGTTTCGTCGATTTTTCGTGACTGAATTTTGCACAGGAATTTGCCGTCGTGTGCGCTTTCACGCTGACTGCCTGGCCGCCCCCGTGCTGGTTTTTCTGCGTGTCTAGACTGTGCGAGGTCAGCGAGGTCAACGTAGGGGTTCCGTTTACGTGTTCTACTCGGCCCTTCTGAAAAAGCGTTCACCAAACGTTAGTATGTGGTGACCTTGGTAAAATATTTTTTGTCCATGGTGCGTGGCCACCAAGTGTCCCTATTCTTTCATATGCTTCGCTTGCCGCCCCTGCGCCGAGTGCAACGAATACCCAGAAGGACTACACATTAGTATGCCTTGCCGCGGTCTGACCAATCGAAAGTCTACACTGCGTAGTACTTCCGGGCTATGCGTAAAACCGTCACTGGCAACGCGTACTGCAGCCTGCTCCACACCATGGAAACGAGGTTGAGTCTACGGTGCTCGCTGTTTGAAGCGCAAGCATGTGACGTCGCGTGATAGAGTGCTGTTGCTTCTATAATGTGTTTACAGCTCCATGCTTCCACCACCAAGGCTGAGCGTTGTGAGTTCGCTGCCCGCCACGTATAATTCACTGTCGCGTTATAATTTCGGGGGCCTGTTTGGGGTCAACGAAGGATCGATGCATTGCTTCGAATATCGCGATCTTAAACGAAGTCACAAAAAAAGCGACGAAAAAGTGTCCGACCCGGCTGACGACACCCACATTTTTCCACGGACGTGAAGCCGCGGTCTGGGATCCTTTTAGAAGCAAACATTTCTCGGAGGCTGAGTAAAACTTGCTCTTATATATAGATGGTTGAACCAACTTCAATAAAAGTTAAATCGACTTTTTCCTCGCAGACGGTCTTGCAAATTGTAAGAAGTTCAAGTTTACGTTTGTTGAAGAGTCCAATACTGAAACTTAATTATGACCTTCCTCCATGATTCAGACCGTTTGTAATTTTATGGTAACACTCAACATTTTCATTTCAAATGACACCTTCACGTTTTATTGCATTATGATTTAAACCAGCCTTCGCCTGTGTACTACAGTAACCTTTTTAGTACGTTTTCAAAATGCGAGTGCCTCACAAAAAGCCAATTTAACAGACCAACGGCAACATTTACAGACAGTTTCCAAGGTACATAATTATCATGTGCGTAAATCGATGGAAGACAGGGACCCCCCCCCCCACACACACACACACACACACACACACCCAGACTTGTTTCACATACCTAGTGTGGACTTTCCTTTCTTTTCGTGTAGTTAAGGAACACCAGTGGAAAAACTCATTTTTCTCAAACTGTGAAAACTCTTACAACCCAATTTTTTTTCAATGATTCCCTTTAGTGTTTCTCTTCATTCTGCTACAGATAAACCTAACCCAAAAATGCCTCTAAACCTGTTTTCCAGAAATGGGGAAACACTGTGTGGACGTGGGCAAGTCCACACTTCGTCGCTGCTACCTACATTATGTGGACGTCTTTTGTTCGGAAGTCCACACTGCGTATGTAAGACAAGCTCACACCTTTTGAGGCGGGGGTATTGTTTGGTCCCCCCCCCCCCCCCACTTTTTCTTCCCCGAATAAAAATATTGTTGCCTACAATAATGATTCTATTGCTCAGAATACATGTAGCTGATTCAATTACTCCAAACTCAACACTTTAAAAGATGATTTTTTGCTCAAATTGGTTTTAGTGGTCAGAAATTGCCTCAGATCACACCATAGAAATTCCTTTACTATAACTGCATGTCTCCCCAACAACACTTTAAAAGATGATCTTTTGCTCAAATTGGTTTAAGTGGTCAGAAATTGCCTCAGATCACACCATAGAAATTGCTTTTCTATAACTGCATATCCCCCATTTACATTTAACTCCCCACATTTTCATCCCCAACACTACGCCCTACCCGATCTATGATCGGGTAAATCAGCTTGTAGCTAATAAACCTCGACAGTGGCGCCATGGGCTGCACCATTTACGATATAGCCAGGGGCGGTGGAACCGGGGGGTCACTTCCCCTCAGATTAAGTCAAGTGCTGACTTAAATGTGCCCCTTCGAGCATAAATGTGCCCCCTCGCGATGAAAACAAAACTGGCCCTAAAATTTCGGATAATTTGTTTTCAGTAACCATTTTCCCAAATGATATAAAGAGTTCTGATATGAAGGAGGAATATAAAAACCAAGCCACAAATCCCTTACCATGCGCCCTGAAAATGGGCACACAATGCGTAGTTTGCATAATGGTACCCCCCCCCCCCCCCCACACTAGTTGATTTCACGGAGGCCAAGTGTCCGGTGCAAAAAACGTGTCGACATTTCAGCACGGATGGAGCAAGTGCCCCTTTTTGGTGATCCCCCACCCCCAGTTTAAAAACCGTTCCGCCGCCGATGCATATAGCCGTTGTTTACTACCATACGGCCACAATACGGCAGTCGTGAATAAACATTTGGTACCAGTGTATCATATCTGCCTATGGTCCATCCACGTCATCAAGGCGCCTTTGCACATTATGTATTTTGAAGGATATTTTCATGCAGATAATTAGAATCATTTCCGTTCATGAATTTAATGTATTCCAGATTACAAACTTCATAATCTAATGTTAGAACCACAAGTAATGATGACTATAGTTCGTCGTGTGCCCAACAGAAGGGCATATGTGCATATTTCCTCATGCAATAGCGCGTTATGACCAAAATGTTCCCAGCAAAAGGGCATATGCAGACAAATGCCTCCCTTGTAACGAAATTTAAACATTTGATTCAAAATGCGCGCAGAGGAACAATGAAACCTTTCAACGCAATTTTCTTGAAAATGATTTTTGCGTCAGAACGTTCATATGCCCTTCTGTCGGGCACCCGACGAGTTCATAATTAATTAATAAATGACGAAATGATAGTCCATAATATCAGTATATACAGCGAGAATGCATCGGTAGCTATACAGATAGTACGTCATAATTTGTTATACATTGCCCATCTCTTAATGTTGCCAAATTTAAAAAAAATAATAAAGAATTGTAATATTCGCATCAATCGCTCTTTGGATAAAAAAGTAATTAATAAGTTCAAAATTAAAATATTAAAAAATAGCAAGAATTCCCATGATTACGTCATTCACGTCATTTCAAAATGAGTATGTTGATCAAGTACGTCCTAAGTCACTTGGCAAATGGATTCAAAGTTCTATTATATATGTCGTTATGACCTCAACTTTAAAATGGTGTCACGCAAAAAATGATGAATTTATAATAATATGTTTTCATAGACACCCTTCACATGGGGGTTGTGTCTGTGTTTGCATTGAGGCAGCACAGGGTCGCTTTTGAATATTATCCAAATTAAATCTCAACAGTCCAGACTGGGGTATAGTCTTCATATCAGGTGGATGATAGACAGGAGTGACTCAGATTCCTCTAGCAGCTATAACCCTTACATCTATACTTCTCTCCATTCGGCCCCTCTACGCATAAACCATCTATGCATAATACATACTTTTTAATGATCAGAATGAAAAGACGACAAGGCGTTGACAAATTTTGATCGACATACAGATTTTTGGTTGGCATCGATTTGTCTACGCCTTCGGGACGTCAACTGGGAAAATTACTACTGAAGGTTAGTAAGAACTTTGTTCGTACCTGTAGTCCGCGATTTTAGAGAAAGGCCAACGCAAAACTTAAAGATGCACGCATTCGATAAAAAGATGCTTAGGCCTATATTTTATGATCGGTCGGTTGTGCAGCTATGTGGTAGAGACGCCTCTCTTTATGGGTGATATAGTTTGGGCGCATGCGCGAAATATGGCTGCTGTAATGTGAACTTATTTCTTTGCGCGCCTGTGAAGGTCAATTTTTCCCCAATTGTTTCGTTTAAAAATTGTTTTATAAAAGTGCGCATGTAGTATTGAATATTAATACAGTAAATGAAATGTTAAGAGCTATTTCACTTCTGTCACAATCTGGAAAATGTGGATGAGAAATGACGTATTTATAAGGTTTCATTTGTAGTATTCAACTATTCTCTAATAAAAGAATACTAGTCGAATTTACTTCATATTGCAATCTTCCCAACAACAAGGTGTACAAATGCATGTGTATAGTCGATGAACTAAGCCTGTAGTCTGG